TAGTTCTATGTACGACATTAGGTACACTTGTGTGAAGGTAAATAATGTTACGCAGCTACCAGAGCTTTTCTGTTTGTTTGAAAGGTTGGTTTCACGAAGAAAATCAAAAGTATAGAGGGTAGTGAATGGAATTCTCAAGAAGCAGCGAGAATACTTGTTGTTTTGTGGGATTTTCTGACCGAAGTTTAATGCGAGAGCTTGATGCGACTGTCAGTGCATACATTTCCTTTAATCACTTTAATAAGCCACAGTCAACCAGTTGATTTCTAAGCGCCCATCTCCTTTTTACAGAACGGTTCGGGATCTTGGATGAATTCTGATGCAGAAGATTGAAACACTTACCTGCTGTAGTTGTGGTGAACTCATCAGGTGGTCGCATATTAACTTAGAGGGAAATTTATGGTTTGTTTTGAGAAAACGATGCCATTAGGATCGTGAAATATCACGTTTCCAGACTGGTTGAATAGAAATACGAAGAGTTACGAAGTGATAGGAGTGCTATTAGGAAGAGAGAACGACAAAGTTTATGAAGATACTGAAGGATAATACAAGAATATAAAAGAAGGGAAAATAAAAAGTCGGAATAAAGATATGTAGGCAACTATAACAATTATAGGCCAAAAATGTCAATCGTGATGGTAATAATGGTGAAGATTAGTAAAAAGGGCGATTATGACGTCCATTTCTCCCCTTATTCTGACTAGTTTTCTGAGTGTTAATGATAAACTATTCAGTCCTTTTTAAAGTCACCGATAAACGAAGCGGTAGCTATATCAGCTGGTAGTGTATATAATGAGATCCAGACCTGGAAGGAAAGAGATTGTGACCACGTACGAGACTTAACTGTTTAACGAACAATTCGGTTTGGACATCCAAACGGATTACTGCATTGGTTTTCCAGTAGCATTCCCTTGCATGGATAACATAAACCTTTTAGAATCTTGTGAGCCGAATCACTTCATGTCCTGTATTAACTGAAGGCATAAGCGCATAAATCCCGTAGCCAATCTTCATATGCATCATGTGACAGCCATAGGAAGCTATTTACCACCCGTACTTGGAATTTCTCTAAGAGATACGCGTTCCTGTTCCTGGTCAGTAAAGTAGACGACATGAAGCGATTGCAGGGTTTTGACTATAGATTTCTTCGTAGCACTTTCAGTGTGTGGTGGAGTCACCGTGTGAGCAATATTGCGGTCTGTCAGACGAAAGGTACTATGCAAGACAGGTAAGTCGATTCATCGACTACCTCGACGTGTCATGCTAGGGGAAGTTGGATTAGGATGGTAAAGGGTTGAGGGTGGCTAGACCAAGACGCGACACACATCGATCAAGTCCCTGGCTGGCGTCTCCGATACGAAAGGAATCAGTGGTTGAGGGAACTTATTACCATGACTGAAAATTGGTCATATTGACGGTGTATTTACTTCTTGACATCTTCTAAAGCTTAAATAATCACACTAACCTTTATCTTCAGATTGTTTATTCTCTCACCCTACTTTATATACCTTGATGTCACTCTCTTTCTATCCGCCTATTCTGTCTGTACTTCTGTGAAGTGTGGCAACTCGAGCCGATGCACCTGTGTGCGAGGCTTTACGTTGATTTTGTCAGTCAGTTCTGTGTACGACCGGCGGTTCAAAAGGTTTGTGAATATTAAAATAAGGTCAAGCATTCTAAGACAAGAGATTCCAGGCAATATTATTATTATTATTAGAACACAAAGATGGCGCAATATGGGCACCAAGATATGCTCTATACCAAATAATGTAACAATATTTTGAAGACATAAGGAGAAAGGAAGTGGATAAAATGAAAAAAAATAAGAATAGAACGATTAGAAGGGCAGTGCAGTAAGATAAATTCGAAACAAAACACTCATTACTTTTCAGTAGCAGAACATAGAAGGAAGCTACAACAGGACCACCACTCGTTTCCATTCTCAGTCATATCTGATAATGTCTCACGCCACTGAGTTGCATGATCTCGTGGACTCCACCCAGAGAGTTGTGATGCACCAACAGATGCTAACCCGATACAACTATCTTTCATTCCACGGCACAACGTCACACATTGAACACCCCTCCGCTGCTTCAATCCAGTCCCAGGGTGTTACCACCGGATACAGAAAACGATGGTAGAACACATAGAGTCGTCCCACATCCTCAGCTCGGAGAGGCCAGGTTTCATAAGAGTAGAACAGAACTGCTCGCACCGAAGCGTTGTACACACGATGGCCAAGTTAATGTCATGACGGCCCCAAAGGTGGCTTAGATTGGCGTACTTCACTCCGGCTTTCGATATGCGGTTAGAAATTTCATCACTTACACCTCCACCAGCATTCACACAACTATCCATATACATGAACTTTCAGACTACTTCCAACGGCTCACTACCAAGGGTGAGCGCAGGCACAGGCTGCTGCCAATCTTTCAATTTCAGAGTACAGCTCTGTCCAAGGAATCGAACGCAACCTTTATGACAAGAAACACAACGATCGTTGGTCTGCAATATATCTGACGATGTTCAAGCATCTGGTGGAAGGTAAACAAATGATCAATGCATCCACAACCTGGACGAAACACGGCCTGATCCCCGTGAATAATTTCCTGAAGCGTTTTGCAAAGTCTGCAAAGCATGATAGCACCCAGTATTTTCGACACGACTGGCAACAGACTAATACCCCGATGACTGTCGCATACATTACGTAAACCCTTTGTAAAGATGGGCACAGCGGTGGCTTCATTCCAGAGTGATGGAACACTCTTAGTCTGCCATAACCTTCTCAAATAGTCTAGTCAGTTCCCTGACTAGTTGTTCTTCCATCCTTAAAAACAGCCGAGTAAATTGTTTTGGCCGGCCGCCTTATGGTGTTTCAGAACTTGGGGTTCCTTATGGACCTCCGCTTCGTTAGGCGGGTCAGTGTTAAGTGGCCATGGAGCACGATACACTGAAATTGAAGATGCTGGAGAAGTGGGCCAGCTGAACTGCCTTTCGAAGTCCTCCGCCCAGCGTTCTAGTCATTTCTGAAGATAGTTGTAGTAGGGTGAACCGAGGAAATAAAAATCGGTCAAAAGGATTAGAAAGTACTAAAAGAGAGGAAGGAAAAAATTCTGAATCCAGTATAGTGGTTAGGACGAAGTTAAACTGTGGATACATCTGTGCCAATGACATCGATTCTGAGCCATATCACCCAGTCTCCAGCCACTGGTTTCTGTAGTCACACACACCCCAACGCACTAGTCTGTATTCCCCTACATGGCTAAAACCAACCAAAAAGATTTCATACAGTGAACCTATGTTTTAGTCTGACTGCCCCATACTCTTTATCAGTCTGAACCTACTTCAGCTAACTGCGCGACGAAGCATGCGTAGCACATGTACCAGCTATCTCAGTCGATGAAGCGGCCTTAGTGCTCTCATTGTCGAGCTGCACTCGTAATGGTCCTTTTACTAAAGTTTTTCGACGTCCACCGAGACCCAGACATATACACGCTTGAACCAACGTGTGGTCGATATCCAAACACGTGCTCCAGAAGGAGCAGCAGTCTCCCACCGACCCTCTCCAACGACGACTGAAAGCAATATGATCTGTCTATGTCCATTGCCGACTTGAGCTTAGTGAACATCGCGTTGGACAGTGTCTTTCTATATATCTGGAGTTTGAGCTAGCTAGAAATAAAAGGTTATCTTAGCATAGTTGAAGTAGATGATCACCGTTATCTGCCTGTTCAGATGGGATTCTGAAAGTGCCACGTAAATGCCTTCATCTGACTCAGCCTACCCACTTGTACGTCAAAATCACCTGCAACAAAAACCATATCTGAACGCTTGGCTTTCAGTAGAAGGCTAGACAATCTTTGGTATAACTCATCCTTCACTTCATCCGAACTGCAGTTAGTGGGTGCGTAAGCAGAGATTACAAAGAGACAATGGGTAGTTTCACTGTTCCTTATAGTTCTCATTGTGCCGTTCAGCGCATAGGTGACTGTCATCTGGGATCCAGTCTAGTAGTGAGCTTTCTGCCCTAGTGCTTAATGCTATTATGCCTACACCAAGACAGCGAGAACTAACCATCGAATCTCCAGAAACTCGAAGGGTGAATTTCGCGGATTCACCATATTGGTCAGGAGAGGTTAAGTGAGTAACCACACTTGGGTCCTGTATGCATGTCACAAATACAACACACATCTATGGCCTGAGTTGCTAGAGGTTTGGTAAACGAAGCTTGCTGGCCAATTTGATGGTGTGCAGATACTGAAGGCTCTAGTGTCTAATTTGGAGCATGATTTTAGGCAACGAGTGGTGGTTTTGTGAACTCAGATCGTTGTCGAAAGCTACAGATTTAGAAAAAATTAAAGATGTAGAATTGTTAATTGAGAGACGTGAAGGAACATTCTAAGGTAA